TCTTTCTGTCTTGAGAAAAGGAGGCAACTTTAAAGCTTCTGCCCTACATCTTGGCAGCATTTCTCGTAGGGAGAGAGCTTCACAGATGCCTCCAGGGAAGCTTAAAACCCAGATCTCTTCAAAAGACTGAAATCTAGCCTGAAACTATTTCAGCTGAGATGAACCAACAGGGATTGTCTGAAATGCTGAAGCACCTGGGGACGGAAAACCAAGCTCCCCGGGCTAAGAGTGTTCCTTCATCAGCTCCCCTGTGAGGCTGTGGGGCAGCAAAAACCCCCAGCACTGCTGCAGCCAGAGTCCCTGATGAGACATCAGCAGCCTGGGACGGGAAAAGCAGAACACAGGGTCTCATCCAGGGCATAACTGCTGCACAACGCTGCCTCTCCAGAGACACTCGTCTAGCAGGAAAGAACATCCTGTTTGTCTCAGCTGCATATCAAACCCAAGCAGCTGTCCTCACTGAAGCTGCAGTGTCACACAGGGAAATCTTTGTGGCTGATGTGTTGTTCTCTTTACCTGAGAAGGACTCGATGGAGCTCAGGAGGCCCTGGAGGTGGGCGGCCGGTGACGTGCAGTACCTCACAATCTCCAGAAAACCTGGGGCCAGGAATGAATCCTGGTGTCAAGGGAAGGATGTTAGCAATACAGAGAAACACAATTAACCTGTGCAGCCTTTTACAGCCCAAGAAGGAGACAGACTTCCAGGCAGCCACAGGAAAACACGTAGTCTAGAGAGCAAGCTGAGAGTCACACTCGGGTTAATTCTGCAGCAGGAAATGCAGAATGTTACTGGTGGTTTTCTTGGTTTAGGTAAGTTGCTGCTTGCTTTAGTTCATAGGTTTCTAAGTATACCTGGCCAGGTTTACTCTTACTGTGATAGCAAAGAGCCTGGCTCACCTTATGGACCCCTAACAGGTAAGTGCAAAGTCTTTCCCAGCAGATTTAGCACCTCGTCACGGCCTCAGCACAACAGGGTGACTGTGCTCTGCTTTAAGCACTTCCCCCCACAGCCCCTGACAAACAACTACAGAACTTGCTTCTAGAGGATCACAGAGCAGTCAATCTGTGTGTTGCTGCTGAGCAGAGGTAAATATCCAGTGGCAAACAGGAGGAAATTCAAAGCAGAGCAGCCCACAAGGAGGGTGAATACTGAATGACCCCTGCCTGGCTATAGCCCCAGGAGAATGCTTTAAATCCAGTTTTAACAGGCTCTGCTTTAGCACCGTGCACAGTCCTGAGCAGAAGAGGACTGCCTACTGCAAAAATCAACTCTTGGGCAATTCCTTGGGTGAAAAACAGATGCCCAAGACACTGCCTACCTGCAGAATGTACACTTCTGGGTGTTTTCGTTGGTAGCCCTTTGAGATGAGGGCCTTGCGTTCCACTGACTGATGAATTAACTCCTTCCTTCTCTGCACTTCTGCTTCAATCTACAAGTCAACAATAGAGCATATTGTTAGAAAATTAACTCAAACAATTCCAGGAATTTGTTCATTGTTTTAAAAGAGTTATTTTTGTTCTGGGTAGCTCTGGGAGACAGAGCGTATGCCTCTGCTTGTCTGTAGTGAAGACAAGTCCAATAAATATCTGAGAGGCCAAATGCAAAGAGGGATTTGAGACACGTTATCGTTACGGATGGCTTAAAAAGTAACTGAAGTCTTTCTGTGGATGTGTGAGGTGGAGCTGTGAGGTTTCAGCCCTTTCAGGCACTCTGACGCCTCGTGAATCTCCAGGGTATGCCTGAAGAGTCTGGTTTATGTTCTGACACTGTAAGCATTGTCCAAAATAAAGACATTTACTGGAAGGGAGACAGGACTTGTCATGAAGGGATTACTGCTAAGTGTTGTGGGGACAGGCTAATCTCTCATTTCAGAGCTGTAGCAGCAGCTGATTCAGGCAGCTCTTCCTACTTAATAAACCCCACATGAGATTCATTCATAACATTCCTGGCAAAAAAGGAAGGAGGGTGTGACCACTACGCCCTGCTCCTGACCCCTGGTAACGTGGGTTGCACAAATAATGCCATTTTAGAAGCCATTCTCTGTGGCCAGGCAAGTGGTGGTGTTGTTGAGCACAACAGCAGCCAGAGCACCCTCTATAAAACCAAGCAGTAACAAGTCCTAAGTGAGGAAACTTGGACTAGAACTGCTGCTGGATAGTGAGAGCTGTGACCCCACCGTGGCCAGGGCCACCTCCACCCTTGTCTGCTTTCTCCAAGGACTATCTCAATGTTCCTTCATATTGCTTCCAAATAATCTAGAATACAACTGTTATATTGATACAGCAAACCATGTATTAAGACCTGATGCAATCTGCAGAGGGTCCAGGTGATTAGAAAGTTAAGTTAGGATCTAGAAATCCTAAATTGCATTATAAATTCTGTATGGCACTGTTCATTGTACTACATTGATTCTGCTTGTAGAATTCCTGTGCCATTCTAATCACAAATTCTGTGCTATACTAATCACAATATTCTGTTCAGAAAGTAAGGGTTTAATTGTAACAATGATTTAGTGCTGTCATCGCTCTGCCACGGATGCCTAAAACAACCCTGGCTGTCTCCTTAGTGTTGGATGAAAGTGGAGCTGCTTGTGTGACAGATCTCTGTCCCTGGCCCGGACAGCAGCACAGCTCCCTGCAGAGGGCTCTGGGGACAGTTCCTTCGGCAGACCTCACGGGAACTCCGCAGGACCCCTGGCTGCTCCCATCTCGGGGCACCCTTTAAAAGCAATAGGTCAAAGGAGG